CGCCTCACCAACAATCATCACCCAGATAAGCAAAGGTCACCACCAGGCACACAACCAAGCAGTAAACAGATGCCAATCAAGGAACTACCAGAGGAGCAAAACCAAACTCCCACCCCCACCAGCACTGGCAAGGCCTGCCACAGTCTATAAAGAGAGAGCAAACCCCATCCCATTTTAGCATGGAAGATGTTACCTGGCCAGATAATGAAACATTTGCAAGAAAAAAACCAAGCTCAGAGAACCCCAAGGACTCCACAGTTCAACCCTGAGCCACACGTATTCGCCTCTATTGATAATTCTGTGTCTTCTGCAAACCCAGAAAATAAGTTAATTCAGTCACCAGATTAAATATGTTGTGTGAATGCTGCCATTATAGCTTGTACTGGACATCTGACATCTGAATATGTAACTGCATGCTGCTGTCCCAGTATACCTTCAGTGCTCATTATTCCAAAGCCAGCAAATCCTTCAATTGTGGTGGCTTGTTTGCTAAACTAATTCGTTTCAGACCTTCTCAGCAACGTTATGTTATTAACTCGGTCAAATCTTTTCACGGTATGAACTTTCGTGAGCTGGATTTTATGGATAGAAATTATTTAGGAAAGTTATAACTTACAACTTTTGATGGAAAGAAACTTAGGTATTCTTTGTTATGTGTTCTGAGAGTTCTCATCCAGTCAGTGAAAAAAACATGATGGCAAATCTGACCGTAAAAGCTGGTCTTCCTGTGCAAAAGAGGGGGCCCATTGTTGCAAAAAACGCTTTGAATCTTGTTCTTCTATACAAGGCTGGCTCTTAAAACTTAGCAGTCACTAACATTCCTTCATTGTGATTTCCTAACTTTTCTTCAGTTAAGATTATTTATCAGGAATTATTGTATTCTTATCAGTTTACCTAGTTAGTTCCACTCCTCTGTCTTGGGGGAAGCCTGGCAAGTGTTCTGTATTCTTTTTATGTGTTATATATTCTTAAATTGTGATAAATTAAGAGACAGGGAGAAAGAGGGAGGTCAGAAAGCTAACCAGGATCCTTTGCTTTGCAATGAAAATAAGATTAACTCTTTCTCAAATGAAACAAATTAATTGCATCTGCAGGAATGAGGCTATGAGCGAAAATGCAACCAAAGAGCAAAGGCAAGATTAAGATAACCCTGTAATTTATTTATCTATAGAAAAAATCCACCATGAAATAGATGCTGTTCTGGGACCTTCTCAAATGATCACTTACGAGGATCGGAACAGATTACCATACACTAACGCCGTGCTTCATGAAATTGTTCGCTACAGCAACGTTACAATGACTGGTCCCTTACGGAAATGCGTGAAGGACATTGTTGTCCTAGGATTCCCCGTTGGAAAGGTAAGAGAGGGTATATCTGTCCTCCCCACCACCAACAGCATGTCAGGGGGACACTTACTAGCACAAGGAGGAGCTAATGCCTTGCAAGATACAGGCTAAATTCACACACAATTTAGTTATGCAATGACTCCATTTTCTCTCGGGTGCTGCAATACCCTGAATCACAAGCTAGCCGAATAGACTGGATTTGCAAAATGCTACAGAAATACAAAACAAGGTTAAAAGTCAGCAAGTTCAGTGTGTTCTGCCAATATAGCATTTGACCTTCAGCTGACCAGGTGAAGTAAGTTATGTGAACCTAGCCCAACCCAATGACACCTGGGCCATTATTATCTTATTAAAACCGAAGAGCCTTGGGAAACAGACTAATGGGCTTTTCAACCCACACTCCTGGTTCTTCAGAGGTCAGGGGGATGTTTCCAGGAAGCTCAATGTGGCTTTCTTGCCTTATACACGAACTGCCAAGGAGGCAAGACCAATGCCTGACACTGCAACTTATACCTGTCCCCAGCTTTCCATCACATTAACCCTACAGCAGGAAGAAATCCCTGAAATGTGGGTCAGTGTTCCAAATGGAAGATAGGAAGAGTGGGGAGCAAGTGCTAGATAACCCCCCCGATCACTTAATTTCTTAATTTCCTTCTTTTTCGCTTGCAGGGAACCCTTATGCTACCCAATTCCCATTCTGTGCTGTATGACCCGGAGTGCTGGGAAACCCCTTGGAAGTTCAATCCAGGGCATTTCCTTGATTCTGAAGGCAACTTTGTGAACAATGAAGCCTACTTGCCTTTCTCAGCAGGTAATGGGGCAATACGATCCTTCCTCCTAGAATCCAGCCTGAACTGACTTTTAGAAAACCCTAAAGTCATCAGAAAAGCCCAGTTAGTTGAGCCTTCTCTGTTCTCTGCACTGCATGCCCCTGGGAGGGTCACCCGTCTGGTCTGAAGGGCACGGGCCCCCTTGCGTTCCCCCTTCCTGGCCACCAAGGGTACAGGCCACTGTCAAGGAGGTCGGAGGAGTCCACAGTCATAGTCTTCATGATCAGTCCCCTTCTATAACCTTTCAAGTTGGCTGTCTTGGTAGCCACTGCTGGCAGCAAATGCCACAATTTCATCCAGAACTATGCAAAAAAAAGAAGAAGAAGAAGGATTTCCTTTGATCACTCCTTGCACTGAGTTTTGGTGAGTGACTTCAAGTTCCAACATGGTGTGTGAGAGAAAAAACCTATGTGTGTATTTGCAGTGTGTGAGATCTAGACTACCCATTATTTGATTTGTCACCTCCTCCTTCATGCCAAGCGAGATCGCAAGCGCTGTAGTCTTTCAGCTGCTAGGGAACTGCTCCAGCCGCCTGTTCTGTGCCTTTTCAAACTTGATAATATGCTTTTTTAAAGGGTGGTGACCAAAACTGTACACAGAACTCCAAGCATGGGGTCATCATAGATTTGTATCTGGGGTGAAAAGTGGTGGCCATGCAGAAAGAAAAAAAAGTGATCACCCAAGGGAGGGAGAAAAGAGCCAGACAGCCCTGGGCAGCCATACCTCCAAGGGGGCGGGTAATCAGAATAATCAAGATGACAGACACAACTGCTTCATTAAAACGCTATCCCTATTTTTTTTAGATTTTTTATCCCATCTTTATTGTTTTTATGAATAACCCAAGGTGGCGAACATACCTAATACTCCTTCCTCCTCCTATTTTTCCCACAACAACAACCCTGTGAGGTGGGCTGGGCTGAGAGAGAGGGACTGGCCCAAAGCCCCCCGGCCAGCTTTCAGGCCTAAAGCGGGACTAGAACTCACCGCCTCCTGCTTTCTAGCCTGGGGCCTTCACCACGAGACCAAACTGGCTCTTTAGGGTTAGGGTTATTTATTGATGTGTGTCATCAATAAATATATATACTCCAAAACATGGCACGGCCAGGAGTAAAAAGAAAAAAAAAATGGAATATATATCTCCAGTCACTGTTCTAAATTACTAAACCTCGTATAGAAGTTTTAGCTGTGTTTATTATATAGTTCCCCATCTATGCTTCTTTTAAGGTGGCTGTCCTCAATTCATGGTCATCATTCTTTTGGGGTAAATTTGTTGTTGTTGTTCAGTTGTTGTGTCCGACTTCGTGACCCTGTGAACCACATCGCGCCAGGCCTTCCTGTCCTTCACTGCCTTCCTGAGTTTGCTCAGTTTCA